GTCACCGACAAACTGACAATTGGAATGGCATTGATGAAAACAAAAATGTACCGGGAAATCAAAGTCAAATACTTTGTTATAAAATTGTGATAGTATGTATACTTAATCGTTTTCAAAGAAACAGCAATCATAGCATTATAAAAAGTTCTTTTTACACAACCAATACGATTTTATATGACATTTCGATGACTAGTGCGATACGTACACTGCCACCTACATCAGACAAATGACCAGTGAAGCGTATGCACACAAAGGTGTAAAATGTGTACGATTTGTCCACAAAATCGATGTCGATTCGGCTACGCTGTAAGCGCATGTACAATAATTGTTATATATGTACCGAAATGACTCGATTCAGCTACGCTTTAGTTTAAACATATTGTATTGCTTCTAACTTCAAGCAAGAGGATTGGGCACAAGTTATGACAACTTTGTCGCTACGCTTTGTTTAATACTTAGTCATAGATATGCGAGAGTCTTTGAGCCCCCTCATCTCGATTTAGAACAATATGCTGTTCTGAATTTGATTTGTTTTCAATATTTGGCCAGGGAAAAGTGCTTTTTAGTTCACAGTGCTATTTATTTCTCTATTTCTTTATTTCTTTATTGTATTCAATTTCCAGAGAAAGTGTGTTACTGCTATTATATTAACAATTTATGCCAGTGTTTTTAGAACAAATGATCTAGATATCATGCAAATTGACAATTTGTGTGTACCTGCTCCCTAAGTACAGGAAATATAACAGAATTGCAATAAGTTCATATTCAGTTGAGAGAATGTACGTTAGTGCAAACAAACCGACCAAAGTACGTAAAGTGATTTATTTTACCCGGAGTAGTTATACATAATAAAACATCAAGTCACAATATCAAGGATATCGACCCACATATCACAGAGAGAAATAGATTTTTCACAATGTGACATATACGCGTTTTATTTTCAAAATATTTCCATACATCACAAACAACACAACACGAGGTTTGGGATTAGATGTCTGCGTAAACGTCTAATTGGTAGGAAAGGTCATACATGTATCCCTCTGATAAATACCCGGGATCTATCATCGACAAAGTGGATTCAACTTGTGACAGTCGATCCTGAAAGGTTCTATATCCGTATCTTGGTACTTGTATGTGAAACACTGTATGTACCTGTAACATAGCCGTGTATCGAAAACAGGTTGAGTAAACTCTATTTTATTACTTTAAATTATATACCCACAATAAAGTTAATAGTCTAGAAGTTTTATTTTTTATTTGGGCTGTAACCGGACAGGAAGCTGAAACACCTAGTCAATGTACACAGCAGAATTTAATACTATCGTGTTGTTTTCTTGAAATTAATAACAGGAATGCGAATTATATGAAGTAAGTAAATCACATTGCATACAATTGGTAGTTTTTAAATTGGGTCAGTTATTAAAGCCCGTGGAACACGCTTAACTTTAATAGTTTATACTTATATATGACATAACAGGATATTTATTAAGCCGTGAATGAAGTCTTCAATCAGTGTCGTAAACGGTGTGTTCATAGACAAGGATATAGTTTATAACTAATGACATTACATGATATTTATTAAACCCTGAAATAAGCCTATATTCAATGACGTTACAAGTGTTTTAATAGACCCTAATTGTACATATACTTCCGGGTGTTACTTCCGTATTACTAGACAGTACATTCGACCCATAGTTAATGAAAGACTGTAATAATAACCCCTTAATTTAAGGAAGAAATATAATACTTCCTTTCCCGCCAAAATATTACAAGACTGTAAGGCTTTGCCGAGGGGTTTGCCAAATTTGAAAATCCCTAGGTTGGAATTTCCCTATCCTACACTTTTGGGCATGACAGAATATGTTTTTCTCATTCCAACCACCAGAATAAGCTCAGAAACCATGAAAATGCGTTTGGACTGGCCACCTTTTTGAAAATATCAATCCCCACCCCCCCCCCCCCCCCCCATGAGCTTTTTAGAGCTTTTTCGGCCAGCCGGATTTAGTATATCCCACAGAGTTTGCACAGGAACATTAATCACATCTTTCTAACGTATACGGTAAATATATCAAAAAAGAATTTCATCACGTCGCCTTTTCCGCATTGCGGCATCGGAGAGTTTCAAATTCGTGACGTCACGTCATTGTCGAGTCATTGTGACGTCACGTCACGTGAAATGGGGTGTAAGATAGACATTTCTCTTACCCTGGACAGGTGTATCCGCACTTTTACCGGTGTGAGATTTCCTTGTCTCACCCCAGGGTTGAGACTGGGGGATTCCCCTATTCATAACAATGGCATGACGTCACTTCAACAATACAATGACGTCACGTCAACAATCCGCCAACGTCACGTCAACCCTGAATTTAGCATGTAACGTTATCGTTACATTGTGTATATGATACACAAATACACACAATGGGAGAACAGGGTAAGAGAAAAAGAATCATTCACCCCCTTGTGGGTGAGATAGGGGAATCTCCAACCTCGGGAAAAGATTCTTAAGTTGCCAAACACTCGGCAAAGCCTCGTGTTTGGCAACTTAAGAATCTTCCAAGGGGATGAAAGATTCTATTATTCCTACACCCCTTTCTTACCCTGGACTAATAGAATCTTACATGGGTCTATTCCGTGGACAGGGATATCTCAACCCGAGTGTAAGAGTTTGGCTGGTCAGCACGAGGCTTGCCGAGTGCTGGCCAGCCAAACTCTTACACGAGGGTTAAGATATCCCTGTCTATGGAACAGACCCATGTAAAATTCTATTATTTTTCTCCCACATTTTCATATCGTAAAAATACCTCCACTGCGAAGTTGTATTTTATGCACCGTACTATCATCAATGGCGCATGAATACACTCATAGCCGCTGTGCTGCAAATGCGTGTACAAAATCCGCAACGTCAATAAAAAATAGCAGTCATAATTAAATTCAGATATTTAATACCATTAGTAGTATAAGCAACGTTATATTGTATAATGACATTTCTTTTGTTATAAGATTAATCTATATAGTGTTTTTAACGAAAACACACAGAACTACCTGCAGTCGCTGACTTCACGCTTCGAAAAGTTCACTCGGAGTCAGAATTCCGTCTTTGCGTATTGCAGAGTTATCTTCTCTTGTGAGCAGGTATTGATTGTGACGTCATTGGTTTGTGAGAGTACCGTCATCAATTGTTGTGAAAACGACGCAATTTTCTCACACAAACCAATGACGTAACAATCAATACCTGCTCACAAGAGAAGATAACTCTGCAATACGCAAAGACGGAATACAACACCTTCGGTCGTTTCGTTTCGGGGGCTGACATCGTTGTATTATTGTTGATAGTAATATGTTAAATGTTCCTCCAGTGATTGTTGTGCCTTGGAATATACTCGGGATTTTATATTCATTGGATTTACGAACGCTTTCATGTTCGCACAGGGACATGCTGTTGTGCGCTGTAGTCACATGTGTAATGTTTGTTAACTGTTCGTTTGACATCGGCCGATGTGAGGTAGGTGCACTAGACCCAATGTGTCGTCCTAAGTCCGTTTGTACGGTTTCATTTTAGCGATTGGTGATTGAGAGAAGAGACGACATCTTATGTTTTTGTTTATTGTTGACTGTTCTGTAATTGTTTAATACATGTGTGTAACAAGTGATGATGTAATCGGTTTTGTTAAAAGTGCACAGGGTCACAGGTCATGTTGAAAGAAGTGCATTGTCTGTGACGTAATAGCGCTTGCCAGTTGTCTTGGTCGAGTTAGATCAAGACAGGTTTATCTTTTCCCTATCCAAAACGGGAATGTACCTGTTAAGTGTTGGAGAGATATATATATATAATTTCTGTACAATGTCATGTACAATATGTTGTTAAAAGCATTATCATAATTATACAATCATGAAGAGTTATGATTCATTGTAGAAAAAATAAAGCAAACAGACAAAGCATGGCACTCATATATCATATCTTATATCTTAAAGTATTAAAATGAACAAAAACATGCATCTCAAAGATACAATTATACATTTAGCTAAATGGCGAAACTATCCCTTCCAGCATGAAGCCTATTTTGCTGTTAGTTAACTGACATTTACCTTGTAATATCTGGTCCTTATATTAACATATAACAAATCAGTATGTTAGAAGATAAAGTGCGACACCGGTACCTTGTACTGTCAATGTACACCGCAGGTAAACGGTATGTGAGATCGTATTAGTACAGGATCACATGTACAGCTTTAGGAAGGGAGTTTGTTAAGCACTTAAACAATTGGCAAATAGAGAAAAGATATAATATTCCTATTTCATATTCAATAAAATTGTTACAGTAACAACTATGCGGACATTTGATAAATAGGCCCACTGGTAAATGCGCTTGCGTCATATACAATTATTGAACGAGGTTAATACATTCAATATGATATTAACGCTAATGTAAGATCCTCTTTTTATCATATAATATTCATAACTTAAACAAATTCTAGCACAAATATTTCAGATGACTCTCAACAGGTAAAAACCGAAGAACTCCGATCATACATGTAGTATTGTCGTTCCGCGCAGTGAAAAGTTTTCCATATTTTTATTGTTTGATAATGATCAGTTTTGAATACAATGGAAATACAATGACAAAATATACATTTAAAATTCATATAATTGCAAAATGAAACAAAAATGGATATTGATCAGAACAAAAATACAGTCGATAATTTTCAAAATGTTGTAGTGGCGTATGAATATGTCCACACGGTTTTGACCAACGCAGTATACGTACCTTTAGGTTGTATCAAACGTGTGTATTAGGCCTACCACATTTATATGACCGTATACCATAGTAAAATGGGTCTTCTATTGATAAACAAAAACACAATACACACGCAAGGGCCAACTGTAATAGCATAACAAAGCTCTGCAAATAGAAAATGTCAAACATAGTAGTTTAATAATTATAATACAGTATAGATGTATATACGGGTTTCTCGTCGGTAAATTTATTTCTAAGATACTGTCATAGAAATATTTGAAATTATTCTTGTTTTATAATTTTGTATTGGATTGTCTTAAACAAGTTTAAAATAATATGTCCCAATAACACATTACTAGCTATGTTTAATATATAGAGTGTAATTGGTTTATATTCTATAAAGAAGCGTTAATGATACCACTGTGAAGTCGTTCCCAGAACAAATCCTCGGCCTCTATGAACAGGTTATCGTCCGCAAAGTCCCGTCGATTTGGTACCTCAATGCAGGTAATTTTATCCCATATATCACGAAGTGCGCGTGGCATATCCCTTGGATCTGCTTCCTCGTGAAATATGACGATAAGCATTTCCGGTTCTCCCCTCTCAAAAATATCCATGGCGGCCATTTGTAATTCGAACTCGCACCACGTGGCCTGTAAATAACCCGGGGAAATGTTGAAAATGATCGTCATACTTTCACGCATACGGTCGACAATGTTTTGACCGATTGGCGTGCCTATCTTAAAATCTCTGTCATGAAGATAAAGTTTTACTCCTCGTTCTGTCTCCAGTCTTGTTCTCAGAACGTCAAACACCCAGCGGTAATCTTCGCCGGAGTAGGCAACGAAAGCGTCAAATGTACAAACCTCTCGTAAATGGTCGGCCATAGCAGCCCGGACGCTTGCCTTGCTGCACGTTCTGTAGCACCAGTACCTGATCCTCCATCGATAGCGGTATACTACGATCCCTGTGATAACGACGAGGAGCAACACCGACATCGCGCTGATAGAGAACTCTATCCAAAACTTACTGACGCATTTCTCGAAATGTACACTGTAATCGCGAAGGACAGTAGAAGTATTTGACACTTGCCCATTCTCCAGAAAGCAGCGGTAGTCACCATGGTGATCCAAAGTAACTGAAGTTTTTGATAGCCACATTACAAAATCTCGCGTCAGACAGCTGCACTGAAGTATGTTTCCTTCTAAGAAGATCGACATATTGCCGTGGCCATGTTGTATATTGTCTAACCAGTCCATCACGCTCTGGTTTAAACCAACCAGCCGGTTAAATGACAGGTCTATAAGTCTCACGTCTGAAAATTCGAGAAGAGAAAACGGAAAATCAGACAATGTGTTATGAGAGAGATTGATAGAGCGGAGTTCTGGCGGTATGGTTAGGCCAAAAACGTTTATAAGATGGTTTTCAGATATATCCAGGCAAGATACGTTTCTTAGATCAGAAAAAAATATTCTTACGGCTGTTTAAAACCTTGTCCAGATTGATGTCTCGCATTTGTAATGTATTTGTCCCAGAAAATACCTTGATAAAGACTGAATTAAGTTTTCTCATATCTAACCCAGATAAGTTTACGAAGTCGATCTTCTTGAAATCCAGTTCCATATCAATGTCAAAGCCCTCCAGGGGCATGTAAGAGATATCAAACACTTCTATTTGCCCACCGACAACTTTGAATGTTCTGTTACCGTAAAAGTGTAATTCATTAGCCATTATATGATCAAAGCGAATAGTATGCAAAGTCTTTGGGAAGGGTATAACAACCTCCTGACGGCACGCATTGTGTATATCGTATGTACTGCTAGTTGATGATTTTGTAATTTCTGTCCGATTTGTGTCTGTTTGTATCTTACACGAGCTGTTATTCACACGTCCACCCGTCCATAATCCTTCAATATGGATGTCCTTCCTAGCGTTGTCCTTTGGAAATACCCCATAATCATACGAAAAATCTAAAGTTTGCAGATTTGTTGATTTCCAAATAAAAATCAAAGTTTCTTGGTGTGTCCTAGCTCCATTTAAAGCAATGAAGTTTTCCTTTAAAATCAGCGCCGTCAGACACTCAATGTGTTTCCACTGCATTACAGCTTCCATTGATATCCCAGATATCTTGTTGTGTCCTATATTAAAATATTTCACACATATTTCCTTTAGATAACGCATTGATTCATTGTCCAGTACGGGGTGAGTAAATGGGACGTCCCCGTATGAGATGTGTTCAACATTGTACATGTTGATGGCGTCCATGGTTTTATTCTGTAAAGGGTATAGAGAGGACAATGCTTTCTGTAGGCGGAGGCGGCTTCCGGAAAGATCCAGCACTCGCAAATGACTGAATGGAATTAGAAATCCAGTCTCAACCAGGAGTATAGCGGAACATTCTCTAAGAGATAATACCTGTATTGGATTTGTTTTAAAATTCACAAACGTCAGGTTGGTTAAATTCATCAGCAGACATGATGTAAAATACATGGCTCTAAGGTGATTAAGACGAGCAAATTCGTTACCAAACACTGGTGTCTGATACAAATCCATTGTCAGTTCTTGTAAATTAGTAATCCGCGACAGTGCTTTAGAAGGGTAAATGCTATCGTTCTTATTGAATGGGTTGTGACCGATATTCAAGTAGACTAGCGACACCAAATCTTGAAAAAGATTCGCTGGGAAATTTGGCGAGGACAAATGTATTTGGTTTCCTTGCAGATGTAATCTTCGTAACTTCGACAGACCAGAGAACGCACCTTTCTCTATTGTAGATATTCGATTTTGGTTCAGGAGCAGCGTCAGAAGATGTTGAAAAAATACAAATGTACCAGTGGATAGTCGCGTAATGTAGTTATTTGTCAATGCTAAATAGGTTACCAGGCATGTTGTAATCCTCGGTACGCGGGTCCATCCTAGGGACGCACAGTCAACAATACACTTGTGCTGTTCCAACTTGAACGAACAGTTATTAGCTTTGATCAAAGAACCATTACTCAACACAATGCTCACGAAGAAGCACAACTGCAGCATCCGTGTATGGTCCGACATTGCAGCACCAACCATGTGTAGTGTAAAAAGTCCCGGAACTTATCGATGTTAGTCTTAACGAAGGTGTGTTTTGCTGAAAAAAAGGTTTTGAATGCGAAAATCTAAAATTACCTCGTGATCATGTTTCTCGTTAATACAAGGAAGGGTGTCCTTCGGCTAGATACACAAGTTTGTGTCATGACAGGGGATATGATGATAATTCGAGGTTCTTATAAACATTGTACCGCTTTATCACAACTTAGGTCTCAAGTTCTTAGGTCGTGTTAAAACGGTTCGCAAATTATAATCCGTGGTAATAGGAACTTGGAGCCAGTCAATACCTCTCTCTTCTCCTTGGGGAGCATACAGCCGGGCCCGCTGTCCTTCCTCTAGACTACCGTGTCTCCAATATAACGGGCGTTATTTTCTAATTGACAACGGGAAACGTAAATGTAATTAATAGAACAGGGAAATTGGCAACCGAAGGTACCATGTCAGAGCCGGAACAAAGTACACGATGGCGTTAACAAATGAGAACACAATCATAAATTGAATCTCGAGTTGAAACTTCGTTGCCTGTCTAGTTTATTTGTGGCTTGCACACTGTTTTGTGTTTCGACTTTGATGTTAGCCTATTGACTCCCTTGACTTCCTATTCATCTCTGAAAACCTGATATTATTTACCTCATATTTCCTCGTTTTATATTTTTTTGTAATTTAACTTAGCTTCACATATTTTCATGTCGAATTGCGGTTTTGGTTACGCTTTGATATACATGTACTAACTGTTAGACACACTCTTCACCATGGCAACAAGCGATGCAAGTAATTTAAATATATTAAATCGTATAAGAAGTTAATATATAATGTAGTATTTTTTCTTTATAATAACCCCGAATTGGGGATGCTATCATATTTAAATAAGTAGTTATTTATGAGGTTAAATTTATATTTCCTTGTACACTTTTTAGAAGCTTTAACCATGGGTACATGTACATTTTGTATAAACATCGTAAGGTTTTGTGTTATTTATTCCCACGTTACACAGCCTGAACATTTGGTGACTCTGTCAGGTTTAGTCTCACCTAGCATACATTTCTAAAATACCTAGTCTCACCTAGCATACATTTCAATTTTCACACCTGATCACAATTTGGTTATATAATCATTTTCTTTGTAAAGAATTATAATGACACGTGGTAGTAGATGAAATATGAGTATTAAAAAAAATAAGGATACAATTTAACCTGAAAATAATAACGATTTTACAGATATTATAACAGGTACAGTACTAGCCGCCTACATGTTATTAAAATCTTAAATTATTGTTGATCAACTAATCTTAATATCAAAGAAAATGTATGCTACGTGAGACGACACCCTCTGTCACACATAACATACTTAATTAGCTTCAGTGTGTATGTACAATGTACCTGTATTTGTGTTCTTACAGAGTGTATGTATGTAGAAAAATTCTGAACGTATCGTATGATATTTACTGTACTTTTACATATACAGCGTATTTCATTAGCTAGAGATATTGATTTTCATTATTTTGCCTGTGTACATGTATAATCGATGAGGCATAGATAGAAATAACGAAGGTATGACACAGGAAGGGTCAGAGTGGTTCAGTTTCACGTATGGATTCACTCCATTTCTACATGGTTGTATTCTTACTTCGTTATTTTAGCGATTGTTGTTTGGATTTATTCCGGCACAGTTAACTTGAAATGTTTGCATGAAATAGGTATTTCTAGTGGGAATGTAAAGTAAACAATGCACGGAGAAGATAAAAGGTATTAAACTTGTGTCTAATCCCATTGGTATTTTGCAAATAAAATATGTTTAATTAAAATAAACGTACAATTTATACCTGTCAATTTCAATGGTGTGTGTGCATTATATATTATACAGTAGATAAAATGCATATGTTTTGAACTCAGCGATGTAAGGGGAATAAACCTTTCTAAATTTACATTTTAGGACAAATAATTTCTTATCATACAGTATTAAATCGAGCATACACTGGGGTGTTAGAACTCACCTTTGCTTTACATCTAAAGTAACCTCACACACATCCTAAAAAAAGGTAATACAGTATAAGTTCTGTTGAACATTAGTGTGACAATAATAAATATTATTAGTTCGGCTCGGGGTCTATACAAACCATGAGTTTGACTGCTAAATTTCTCCTCACGTGTCCCTCAAGTATTTTCTCCGCAAGAATTCACATTCAGCCATCTTGAAGAATTTTATAATATGTAACACGCAAGCTGATTGGTCTAACGGCCGGTTAAAAATAGACGAAAATAGCTCGACCAATCAGCTCGCATATTATAAAATTCTCCAAGATGGTGGACGAAGTAGGGCTGAATGTGAAATCTTGCGGAGAAAATACTTGAGGGACACGAGAGGAGAAATTTAGTTGTGCATAAAACAAGTAAGCAAGTTTGTTTTGACCTTATCTTTGAGTATACCATGGTTTATTAATGTTACGTCGTCCGCTATTCTGTGTACCGAATGAAGAATTTGTTTCGAAAAAATGTTCCGGATCGTGTCCGAGGTAACACAAATCGGTGATTTTTGCAAGCTTCGAAACTGCTTACGAAATAACTACACTGTTTTGAAGATATATAATGGGTGTTATTTAAAGATTAATGTCCCTACTTTCGATCGAGACTACGCTGTGGGAAGGATTTTAGCGGATAAAATTTCTGTGACACTTCAAACAAAATTACCTCAATTTTGCCAGCCGCTGGTAGGGGCTGAGTTCTTCACCTTTCTAGTTTTATATATTCAATTATTTTTTTTGATAGACGTGCCCACCACCTATGGTCGGACGCCATCTTTGTTGTTACGAAGAGATATTCTAGTTTGAGTTATCTCCCCTCGCACGTGCTTTTATAGACCCTGGCAGAGTGGGATTCTATAGAAATATATATCCCAGCAAGAATAAGAAGGGTGACAAATGGATATATATCAATTTCAATTCGACTGAGATAAATAATGATGATTGAACAACTCGATTAAGCATGTGTATTATTATTGGAAAGGAATATTCATATTTGTTCGTTAACATTACATAAACTACATGGAAAATTATATTTAAATAGCGTATTGAATAATGTAACACACCATTCTGTTATTTTTATATAACAAAATATCAACATCGACCTCGGTGAGCATGATAAGCTCATCAGTATAATTTTACGACGCTGTAGTAAGCCTAAGTCTGTAATATATTTTATAGTATCGTAATGGATTTAGAATGCTTGTTAAATTTTCGTCACTGGAAATGAAATGATATTAAATGCCTTTTTTCATCTCCACCGTCACAGACAGCAAACTCGGCTAAAGTGTAATGATGGATTGAAGGGTAGCGTTTGGATTGCAGGCATGAATTGTGTTTGATTATGACAGGAAGACGACTTTTTTAAATTTGTTTTTCCGTCAGCATATCAAACTATTCAGAAAATAGATGTACTAAAAATGTTTTAGATAATGACGCTAGGATAGGCGTAGAACCGGTCAGTGTAATCACAGTTTTGAGAGAAGGCAGAGGGAGACGATCCTCCAGTTATACATGCAATATAAACGAATCCTGCCAACGTAAGATCCTATGAGTATGTTGTTTTGCCTTAATTAAGGTTGAGATACCAACAGATGCATATCGTTTATCTTCTAATGAAATATTAATTGATAACTCAAATTGATAACTGGTGCGTTATCGCCCTAATCCACAAAATATCTTTCACAAAAGATACATAAAAAGTGGAACGCGTCCTCGCAACGTTTAAACTCTGGTATATTTATCGGAATTGAGTGGATGGGATGGGGTGTTTCTTCATAGGGTGGTCATGTACATTTGTACGTAAATAAATAATGGAATATTACTCTAAAAGTGTATTCACAGCAGCATTCAATGCACACTTCTGTAGGGGTTGTCTCCCTTCGCACATTTCAAAATTTGGAGTCTTTTTGCTTTGTAGTCGTGATCCAAGTACTGGACATACTTCACTAATTACGCTTTCCATTTCTAAGACGCGGTATATAGTGATAAGGTATTGTGTCATTTGACCCATTCAGATGTGCACATCCTGTGGTGTGTTACACAAGGAATGCTTTAAGTATTAAGCTGCGTTGGAGTTTAAGAGTGAGGCACAGGGGCACGTTACAAATGTCTGAAATACACACATATGCTATACTGATATGGGTCACAACACACATAAACATACACAAGGGAAGAAGCTTCGTCAGAGCACTACCGGTACCGCCAAATTTCAAATGAAGATTTTCAACACTTACTTTTGTTATTTTTTTCAGCGATCTGCGGCGATAGCTTCGGTTTGAATTGTAATTAAATAATCCATCATGATCAATTGTGTAATCATTCGTCTAATACATCCAATCAAGCACTTTTTCGGGGAATTTGCAGTTTTACCGCCATGATTAACTTGAACCTGACCCGGAAATGACGAGGGCTTTTCGACATGTCTTTATACCATACTGCCAAATACTANGCTATACAGATGCGTTAGAGTTTAAGAGTGAGGTGAGCTATACAGATGCGTTAGAGTTTAAGAGTGAGGTGAGCTATACAGATGCGTTAGAGTTTAAGAGTGAGGTGAGCTATACAGATGCGTTAGAGTTTAAGAGTGAGGTGAGCTATACAGATGCGTTAGAGTTTAAGAGTGAGGTGAGCTATACAGATGCGTTAGAGTTTAAGAGTGAGGTGAGCTATACAGATGCGTTAGAGTTTAAGAGTGAGGTGAGCTATACAGATGCGTTAGAGTTTAAGAGTGAGGTGAGCTATACAGATGCGTTAGAGTTTAAGAGTGAGGTGAGCTATACAGATGCGTTAGAGTTTAAGAGTGAGGTGAGCTATACAGATGCGTTAGAGTTTAAGAGTGAGGTGAGCTATACAGATGCGTTAGAGTTTAAGAGTGAGGTGAGCTATACAGATGCGTTAGAGTTTAAGAGTGAGGTGAGCTATACAGATGCGTTAGAGTTTAAGAGTGAGGTGAGCTATACAGATGCGTTAGAGTTTAAGAGTGAGGTGAGCTATACAGATGCGTTAGAGTTTAAG